CTTGTAATTATAACTTTCAAGGACTAGCAAATGCATTACATTGTTAAATGAGATGTATAGGTATAATACCTTGAACAAGATTAGAAATATATGTACTGTATGTTCTAACAAAAATAATCTCAACTTTGTATCAATATACAAAGATTCTTATCAATGTAAAATATTTAAAACAAATAGTTGCTTTTTAAGAGTAGATTCAATAATCTACCCTTTTATCCTATCATATCTATATCTCCCCTTTTTTTTCTTTTCAAAACAAGATCCCTGAATCTAAATTCCTTTGTTCAGCTTTTTTCCTGACCATTACCAATAACAACTTGTAACCAACCCCCCTAAACAATGACAAATATCCATAACCCACTTAATGACCAAAAACCACCCACCCCACCTCTTCAGAATATGGGTGTTGTGTTCTTAAATTTACTTCCTGCTGTCTGGGGGTGACAGCATCCTTGGGGGATCCTCAAAAGAAAAATTTGGGTTAATTGTCAAGTTCTGGGAGAGGTAGCTGTATCATTTGTTGTCTCTGCATAATGGGAAAATTACTTTTCCTGTAGTTGTGAAACATTTTTCTAATTATCCTTTTATCAATAAAAACTCAGAAGTCAGATACTGGGGTAAAAATCTGATTGATCAGAGAAGCAGTAGAGAATCAACCAGTATTGCCTTTCTCTTTCCTTCCTTGATTCAAAAGGGCTGAGCCTCTTTCTCTAAGCCCCTCCCTATTACTTCCGGCATCTCTCTATATGTCCTGGATCCTCTAAAACCTCTATGGCTAAATTGGTCAGCTAGTTGCTAGCTCTGATTTGAGGTAAACTTTATTGGAAGTTTTGGGAGTATCAGAGTGCAATCAAAATATCCCACAACATATTTGTGATATAATATCTGGGTAAAAGCAGCTGAATAGAGGAAATATTTATTTCAGTTTATAGTTTCAGATCATCATGGTGGGGACCAGAAGGAGAGAGGCAACTGGTCACATTGTATCCACAGTAAGGAAGTGAGGCGATATGAGCACTCAGCTCATTTGTCTGTTTTGTTGTAACTCCTGGCACTAACCCAGTAAATGCTGCTACTCATATGTGGGGTGGGAGCTCAAAGATGTGCCTAGGGACCTGTATCCTAGGTGATTCCAGGTCCTGTCAAGTTCACAATCAGTATCAACAGTCATCAGTGCAAAGGTGTTTAATTTTGTTAAAGCTGAACTCTCCCAGCTTGGCTCCAGGTCCCATTCAGCCAAGCACTCATCCAGGGGTGTTTTCTCTGTGCGATTATCATTCCTAATCTGTGAACGTCAATAAGTGAGGTTATTCTCTATAGATGTATGTCACTGTCCAGATTCCCAGCAGTGTCCTGGAGCTTTCCAAAGCCTGTTATGTTATGTCATATCTGCCTTTTCCCTTTTAGTTTTAAACCCAGCTTTATGGGTTCTCCGCGTGGCCACTGCCTCAGGCAGCTGTGATATTAAACTCTTACTTTTCACTGCTCTCAACAAATGGCCCTAGGACATCAGGGTGAGCTCTGAGTTGGGCCAAATAAATACAATTCCTGTGAATAGAGATCTCTGGGGAATAGCCAGAGAGGTCAGACAATGGCAGTTCACAGAGATCTGCACTTTGGGAGAGAGCAATAGCCTGCTGCCCTTCCGCCATGGCTAGGAAATTGGTTTTCACTGACTGGGGAGCTATTGGTTCTTAAGGCTACTGGAGAGCTGGAGTGACTTAGTGCACATTAAAGCATCACAAAGTTGGTGGTGGAGCTAGTTGTCTTCATGTGTTCATGTATGTATATGGGTGCATATGCGTGTGTAACAGTTGTATGTGAAATTCAGAAAACACCCTTGCGCATCGTTCCTCAGGTGTTGTCGACCTTTCCTGAGACAGGGACTCTCACTGGCTTGAAATTCTGATTAGGTTTCCCAGGGAGCCCAAGGGACCTCTTGTCTCTGCCTCCCCAGTGCTGGGCTTAGGAACACCTACCACCATGCCCAGCATGGTAACACTCACTGCTCTGGGAGTCAAACTAAGGGTCTTGTTTTTGCAAGACAAGGGCTTTGCTGACTGGGTATCTCCCAGCCCTTGGATATTCTTTTTTTTTTTTTTTTTCCAAGACAGAGTTTCTCTGTGTAGCTTTGCGCCTTTCCTGGAACTCACTTGGTAGCCCAGGCTGGCCTCGAACTCACAGAGATCCGCCTGGCTCTGCCTCCCGAGTGCTGGGATTAAAGGCATGCGCCACCTTTGCCTGGCAAGATATTCTTAAACATGTATTACTCAGATCACAGCAGACCTGAGACTAATTTTTGTCATGTGACTAAGTTGTGTTGGGTTGTTTCTGCTAGTGTCCTTGTTGCTTTGATGGAGGACAGACCCTGGGGAGTGTCTCTGCCTTCCCTGGGATACCCAGAACCCCCTTCAGGCTGCAGGTCAGTGGAGACCAGCTTCAGAGAACAGAGGTTCTTTCAAGGCTCTGTCCACGGCTGCCTTCCTCATGCCGAGTCTTCAAAGCTGCCAGGACCGAACACAAGTGTCTTCATGTGATTGTGTAACCCAGCAGTGTGTTGGGGAACAGATTCCATATATCCTTTCCTGAATTCACTCCTTGAGAACATCACGGTTCTCTGTACGGTCTAGAGAGAGCTGTGTTGAGATTCTGACATCTTCTGGTCCATTCATTCTAGACGAAGCCTTGTTATAAGTGTCCGATCCAATCCATAGCAAAGCAAGGTGGGTGGCAGTTTTTTTTTTTGTAAAGAAGATCTCACTGGATGTCTGTCAGGACGACACAGGTGGTGTGCTGACTCACTAAAGGGAGTTGTGGTGTGCATCTGTGTGCATGTGTTATAAAATGTGTTCAACATAAGCAGGTATTGAGATGAGGGGTTGGGATGCTGTGCTGGACAATCACAGAGAGGGAGTGGCAAACTTCAGGCAGTCAAGGTACCTTAAGGATGGGGCGTGGGTGGCTGGCTGCTTTACAGGTGAGGGAAGAGGAAGGGTGGGATAGTACTCCAGGCAGAAGGCTTCAAAGGCTGAGGCAGAGAGGGAAGAGAGAATAAACCTGGGGAGTAGCCCAAGCTGGCGAGAGCAGGAACAGGACAGTTCTTACAGTGTCTCTCGTGACTATGTCTTGATGTGCCTGGTACAGGGTTTAGATGATGCGGTGATTGGCTTGACAATCAGAACAAAAAATGAACAACACGAATCTACCCTAAGTACTTTGGACAGCCAAGGGTCTCTTTGACAGCTTATCACCAAGATATCAGGGTTTTGTTTGATGGGTGGTTGTTCTGAAACAAGGTTTCTTCTCTGTGGATCTGTGTAGTGGAAGCTAACCTTGAACTCATACCCATCCTCCTTCATCCTTCTAAGTCTGGGACCACAGAAGTGCCACACTGTGCCTTCCTTAAGATGCCAGTACCAGCTCTCTCTCTCTCTCTCTCTCTCCCTCCCTCCCTCCCCCCTCCCTCTCTCTCTCTCTCTCTCTCTCTCTCTCTCTCTCTCTCTCTCTCTCTCTCTCTCTGTTTTTCAAGACAGGGCTTTTCTGTGTAGCTCACTCTGTAGACCAGGCTAGCCTCAAGCTCACACAGATCTACCTGCCTCTGCCTCCAGAGAGCTGGGATTAAAGGTGTGCGCCACCATCACCTGGTAGAATACCAGTTCTTAACAGCTCCCTTTTCAGAGTGCTGCTTAAGAGAGGATACCATAGCCTATGACTAAAATCCTATGTCTCGGAGAGAGAACTTTTGGGGCCTAACTCTTTCCCTAAATAAAAATCTTTAAAGATGAAGCCAAATGCAAAATACTCCTGTCCCAGGTTTCCTTAAGGGCTTGGGTGACACCACAGACACTGTGTGTTTCTGAACTCATCAACTGGATTGAGATCAGGGGAGAGGGCTGAAGTTGGGGTGGCTCCTTAAGCACCCAGGAAGACAGAAGGGGGAGACCTTCCTCCCTGCACATGGTTGATGCCCTGCCTAGAGTGGACACAGGGATGAAGTACCTTAGGAGGACTGTTCTCTGCAGCCAGAACTTACACTGGTTTCAGTGCTTTAAAAAATAGGTGGTGAGACTGCTCAGCAGGTAAAGGCATTTGCTGCCAAGACTGATGACCTGAGTTCAATCCTTGGGATCCCCGTGACGGAAGGAGAGAATCAATTCCTGTAAGGTTTTGTCTTCTAACCTCCACAAGTACACTGTGATACACACACACACACACACACACACACACACACACACACACAGAGTAATATTTATTTATTTATTTATTTATTTATTTATTTATTTATTTATTTATTTATTTATTTATTTATTTATTTTCTCCCTAAACAGGGTTTCTCTGTGTGGCCCTGGCTGTCCTGGAACTTGCTCTGTAGACCAGGCTGGCCTCAAACTCACAGGGATCCACCTGCCTCTGCCCCCTGAATGCTGCGCTTAAAGGTGTGTGCCACCATCACCACCTGGCAAATATAATACTTTAAAAAAAAGAAGAAAGATAGAAGACTGTGGTCATTTGAATGTAATTGACCCCCATAATCCCAAAGGGAGTGGCACTACTAGGAGGTGTGGCCTTGTTGGAGTAGGTGTGGCCTTGTTGGAGGAAGTGTGTCACTGGGGGCGGGCTTTGAGGTCTCCTATGCTCAAACTACTCCCAGAGTCACAATCTACTTCCTGTTGTCTTCTGATCAAGATCTAACTAGCACCATGTCTGCCTGCACGCCACCATGTTCCCAGCCGTGATGCTAATGGACTGAACCTCTGAACTGCAAGCCGCCATCTCAATTAAATGTTTCCCTTTACAACAGTTGCTGTGGTCATGGTGACTCTTCACAGCAATAGAAGCCCTAACTAATACAGCAGTTGGTACCAGGACTGGGGTATTGCTGTGATAGGCCTGATCATGTTTTTGTTTGGAGGAATTTGGATTTTGGTGCTTTGGGTTAGACAGAGACACAATGACCATTCCTGACCATTCTATTTTTCTTCTGACTTCTTTTTTTCCAGACAGAGTCTCACTATGTTGTGGGGACCTGGCCCACCGGGAACTTAGGTCACCTGTGAAGAGGTGGCCTGGAACCGAGGAAAGGTAAGTGTGTGCGGCTCACCCGTTCCCCAGCCTCCCTCTTACCCGGAGACAATCAGACTCAGTGAGGAGTCAAGTCAAGCAAGAACTCATTTGTTGATAGGCAGTAAGCCTCTTTTATACCAGAAAACCTCAGACCCCTGGGGGTGGTTGTGAAGGAACCAACCAATCATTTTAAAGGTCACCCTATTTACAAGTTGTTTACGTCCTGACTTTATCTCCTGTTTTTAGTATCTTATCTTAGCATAAATAACTTGAGCTAACTTTTTTCCTCACCATTTGTCTCTAATCTCCATAACAAATAACCCAAGCTAACTTCCTCTCAGCCATCCTTTGTATCTACTTTCTGCACAAATAGCTTACGCTAACTTCCTTTGGCACCATTTGTATCTACTCTCAATGAAAACAGCTTAAAGCTTAAGCTCTATTTGTCTAACTTTCCTCTTGGTACCCTCTTTGTAGCCCATGTATGCCCCACACTATGTAGCCCTGACTGTGATCTAGAACTCACTGTGCAGACCAGGTTGGCTTTGAACTCACAGAGACCTGCCTGTCTCTGGCTTCCCAAGTGCTGGGTTTAAGGGCGTGAGCCATCACACCTAAGAAAGCAATTCTGTTCTTATGTTTAAAATATGAAAAACTTGATTCTAAGAGGATGGCCCAGAGGGTGAAGGCAGCTGCTGCCGAGCCTGATTGATGACTTTGAGTTCCTTGCCTGGGATCCCCACTGTGGAAGGAAAGAGCTGACCGCCCCCTCCCCCGGCTGTCCTCTGGTCTCCAGTTGTATGGCGTGCTATGTGTGCACACACACACAAAAGAAATTAATAGAAATGTCATCAAACATTTCACATTGTGGCTGTGCCAGGGGTTGAATGGGAATGAGAAGACGAACCAAATCCACTCTGAGCAAGTAAGCTAAGAGCCATTGAGGATTTACACATGAGAGGCTATGCCAGAGTGCGTGCTTTTAACTTCTAACCCCCATAACAACTCTGCCACACAGGCAGGCCCGTTAGACAGAGAGGAAACTGAGACTCAGAAAATCATTTGCCCAAGCTTACACACCTGAACAGCACGAATTGGACTCGGTGGGCTATTGAAAAAAAAAAAAAAAAAAAAAAAAAAGGGGGGGGGGGGGGGGGGGGGGGGGGGGGGGGGGGGGGGGGGGGGGG